TCTCCATCCAAATCGTCAAAACAAAATATGTCACAATCATCATCTCTCACAGAAGGTAACCTTCACATTCCATTGGCAAAGTACTTAGAAAGTAGATGTTTATGTCAGGAAACATAGGCTATGTCCATGACAGAAAACAGAGGTTATGTTTCACAGCACCTAGCACTGCAGTTGTCCAAAGATTCAGTGCCTGTCTCTGTCTCCTGAGTCTTGAGCAAACCTGGATGATAAGCTTGAGGTGTCCAGCCTAAGGGCTGGAATTCTCTAGTAAGAAAGAATTAACTTATGTAAATACGATTGCCTGTTGCTGATTTGGATGCCCTGGATTATGTAAAACACCTGCACAGGGCTGGCAAGCACAACAGAATGTCTATAAAAGTACCCTTTGGAAGAGACAGTCAGAGACAAAAGGGACACTTTGGGGCACCTAATAAGTACTATTTAAATGTTATCCTTACTTAAAATAAATAGCCTTCTGGACTCTCTAAGCTGCACTGATAAGACTTAATTGTTCAAACTGTAGCAGCTGATATGATACCCAACACACTTGCACAGAGCATGCAGCCATGACGCAGAGCTTAAGGACTGGAAATTGGAGGCCAAGTGTAACACAAGAACCAAAATGACAACAGACACATTTGCCTTAGCAGACAAATTCTGTCCTGCATCTCCATTAACTACGGTCATAGAGCTTAGAAATCCAGCTGGCACTTAGATATCTAATTGCATGCATCTCAATGTACATGAACTGAATCATATCCCATTTTTCAGGCATCTAAAGTAAGACAAGATCTCGTCAAGTAAATCTTGATCTTGTAAATCTCGTCAGAGGAAGCATGAAGGTCCTGTGCCTCCAGTACTTCAGGTGAGGTATTAATCGATTTACCTCAGAATAATTCCTGATGCCACCCAAGAAAAGCAGACAAAGCTTGTCCTATATGAGTAAGAACTTTGGTTGACCTTACAGCAGCAACTAAAACACAGTTTGTCAGTAAGATGTCAAAATCACACTGAAAAAATCAGCAGGCACCCAATGGAATCCATATGCATACCTGAAGTTTTATATTGGAACATATGCAAAAATAAATAAAAAATTACAGTGTTAGCATAGAACAGATTATATCTTTTTCAGAAACAACAGCTCATAGGCTTTACGGTCTGACTTTATGTCAAACTAATTTTCTTAGTACGGTATTCTCAAGAGCAGCAGGATGACTATATAGCCAGTGACGCCTCCTGGGTTTTCCTGGTTTAATTTTATTGAAATTAGAGCCTTTCAAAAACCATGGATCAACAACTCATAAATCCCTGTAAGCACAAAGAGAATGCAGAGAGCAGTTTAGAAAGCAGTGCCATAAGATTCCTTGCTTACAAGCGATCAGACTATTCTCTGTAAAACATGATCTCCAAGGAGAAAAAAGTGTTGTTTTTTTTTGCATGAATCCCCTTGTTTTCTCTATCCACTCTACAGCTTTATCTCCCACAAACTATAAAAACCACATCCTCAAATGATGGAAAATGAAAGCACAGCACCTTATTCTCCCAGCTGCAATGATGAGTTTAAAGAGGGAGCTGTCTGGAGAATCAATGTATTGATTATTTAACTTCTTAAGGACAAAATGCTACAGGAGTCTTTGGATGCTTGGAAATTATGTCTGGAATTAAAGCACTTAATTCACAGGCCAAATGATGAACAAAAAAATCAGACTGTGAAAATTCAGCAATTATATATTATGTCTGATAGGAAAGAGGCTGACAGATCAGTAAAAAGCAGAACTCTCTATTTCAGCTTGCACCAGCTAAGCAAAGCATACCTCCAAAATACAGAATGTACAGAACATGAGCAACAAAAATCATGGAAAACCATTTATTATAAAGCTAATCTATTGTTATCTGGCAACTGTGGTCTTCAGTACTCTTTTGAAAAGGTTTTGCAGTGTTTCCTAAGTATTATCTCTAATATTATCAATTAGTATTATATATGGAGATGTGTATTAGTGTACATTTTACACGCTCTTGCAGAATTTTTAAATGCAGTTATTGTAGAGGTGCACAAAATAACAGTGGTTAAATACCCAATTAAAAGGAAAGTTTGTGGAACAGTCAAATGACCATGTGAAGGCATTCACAAGTACAGCGGGGAAGTAATGCACTCATGTGCATTCATGTATGCACAGCTCATTAGCAGACTGCAGCTCTTTCTCGAAAAATGCACTTTGCCATTCAACTTCATTAATCCACTGTTGTTACCATATATGTGACTCAAAGTATAAACTTGAAGGCGTATTACTTTTACTTCATAAATATTTTGAGTTCTCGGTACGATGTAAGCAGTACAGCAGAGTGACAATTTCAGTAATGCTACCCAATGCCTTCAAGATGCTATGAGATGAAATGGAAACTGCTGATTTAAAACTTTTCAGATAAAAAAATCTGATGCTGCACAGTCCTGACATTCGCATCAGTTCTCTTGATCCGGCTTAGCATTATAACATCAAAAGTAAAGAAAAATGTTAACTTTCCTGTGTAACCTAAGGCAGATGCGCATCGCTATTCAGTAAGTCTCTTCCAAAAACAGCTACAGCTAATCTCGACTTACAGAAGGTGAAGAACTTTTAATGATTTTCAAAAGAAGAATCAAAAGCGCACACACTTCAGAATGCTGGAATGTCAGATGAATACCTCGTAACTGAGGATGCACTGAGGAAGAAGGCTGCAATTTGAGTAAGAATAGAAAAGCGTATGACACAAACTATAATTCTTGTTACAAAGGATTGTCAACGTATCATCAAAAGCTACATTACAGGCTGCCTAGAAGGCAGTATAATAAAACTTGCTGTAATAACTTTTTATTTATATTCGTAAAATTGAAGAATATTAATTCCCTGGTTACTTTATTTTTAACATAGAGATGAATTTTAACAGGCTAATTTATAAAAGGTTACACCAATGTCTAGAGTTAAATCAAAGGAATTAATGTCCATATTAACACGGTTCAGAGATAGAAATTTGTGTCAGAGATGTCAGTAGTTAGTGAGGCAAAAGGTCAATGTTAACAATATCTGCTTGGCATTAAATGGAAGAATACATCAAAAATTAAAAGTTTGGTTAGTAAGAAGTGTGTTCAGCAGAGATGCCTCATGTCTCCAAACTAACTTTGCTTTTTTTTTTCTTCTGAAATGCTACCTTAGATGGTACACTTTGTAATTCTGAAAAGCTCTTTCTTTACTTCCTCATTCACTGTTTCTCAATATTTACACCAGATGAGTATATTTGCAGACGAGTATAAAGTTACCTGAGTAACCAAAACAAAGCAAGTCGGGTAGTGCTGGAATGCAGCTGAGCTTACTCCTTTCCCAGGCAGAAGAGACAGAACCAACTGCAAATCCCACTGCAGTACAGTGCTCACCAATTAGAAGCCCTTTCTGAAGTTCATTTCTTTTTCAGGTAAATTGACATGGCTTTTGCAAGGACCACCACTTCAGCACTTCCTTTATAGAAACTGATACTTGTTTCTGTTGCTACGTGTCACCATTTTTCAGACCTTATGTTGCTCCATGAGAGAGCACAAAAAAAAAAAAAACAACAACAACAAAAAAAAACAACCCACCACCACCAACAAAAAAAAACAACTCAAAAAACATTCTTCACTTCCACAGAGCTCTGGCTCTGGGAAGCAGTGGGCATGGACTTGTGGCCCAGCAAGAGCTAAAGGAATCAAAGGGCTGGCTCACCTGCCCAGGAAAACCAGAGGGCATCCATCCTCTTGAGGCACTGGCCTCCTGTAAGATCTAATTACCCAGGCTAGCAACGCTTCAAGCAGTGTATTTATTTACTCCTCCTCATAGCCCTGATACAGTGGGTTGGAAGAGTAATTAAATCTAAGAGGCTTTCCCAAAAGTGGACGAAGACAACAACAACAAAAAGGCTCCATCTATCCCATAGCTTTCTTTCCAACCTTGGTCTCTTTCTGATATTTACTGCTGATGTAGCACTTCACACATAGTGTTACATACAAATTCAATCCCCAATGCGCTGCTTCGCTAAGTACAGAGCACAGTCAAAGATGGGAAGGTGGTGGTAGGGAGAGTGAATCCAGGACTCAGAATTACTCTTCAAAGATCCCGCTTTCACCACTTTGAGGAGCAATGCGACAGGTACAGAACATTCCATGGAATAAATGAGGTCTCTACTGCCTGAATTTGCAAGAAACACAAAGCAAACTCTTACGGGTGTGAACTGCCCCATTCGCCCCTTCTGGATGAGGAGAAGGGCAGCTGCTGGTGGCACTGTAAGCAGGTACTGAGCGCCAGCGAGAGCCATTTGTAAAAGATCAGGAGCACAGCAAAAAGTTTTTATCTCCGAATTTTGGAGACAGCAGGTGAAGGAAGGGGCAGAATGAAAGAAAACGTGCAGCTCGTGCATGATGTCGGGCTCTGTCAGCTCGCAACGCTGCAACAGAGCACTGAGGTAGAGCTGATGTTTAGCGTCCTATTTACTGAGACAGAGCTCAGGTTTTAAATGCGTAGAATGATTTCAATGCCATAAAGGCAACTATCTGTGCATCAGGACCGCAAAAGCAAAGCTAGAAAGAAGAACCAAATTGAGGAGAACGAGGAATTCGCTCAGAAACACAAAGAAAAACCCACCTCCCATTCAGGAGCAGGACAAAAAGAAAACCAAAACAGCAATTCCATCTCCTATCGCCAAACTACCAAACTGCACCGACTGGGGCCGAACTGCAGCACGCACCAGACCCGCTCCTGTCCCCGCAGAGCCCGGCAGCCCTTCCACGGCCGCACGGAGAAGCCGAGGGTTCCTTCATTACTCCGGAGAAACCCCGCGGCAGCGCTCGCTCCAGACCCCAGAACCGCGCGCCCTCCGCCCGCGCAGAGCTACCGTGTTGCTCTCCGCCTCCTCCCGGGGAGCCGGGGGCGAGAAGCGACGCCGAACGGGGGAGCAAAGTTTGCAGCACGGAGCGAGGGAGCTCCGCTACTCACCATGTTGACTTCGGAGACCATGTCGATGCTGGCGATGTCGATGTTCATCCCCACGCAGACGGGCGGACCTGCGGGCACAGCGCGGTGTCAGGGCGGCGGGGCCGGCTGACGGCAGCCCCGGGGCAGGGGGAGCGGGCACTCACCTCCGAAATCCGGGCGGAGGCGGATGTCGTAGCCTTTCAGCAATTTATCCACCGTTTCCTTCACGAAGGACATATTGCCGGGATCGTTCACACTGTGGGGGCGAAAGAGACGGGGGAGGCAGAGGGAGGTTGGGGAGCGGGAAGGGGGGCAGAGCCATCAGCGCGGTTCCCGGCTCGGCACGCCGGCTCCTACCTCTGGGCGCAACACACCACGGCCACCAGGACGGGAGCGGAGAAGATCCCGAAGATCCTGCCTCCCCCAAAGCCCCACATCCCTCCGCCCCGGGGCTCCCTCCGCGCAGCAGCAGCAGCAGCAGCTGCTGCCGCCGCGATCCGGCTGCCCTGGCTGCCGCTGAGGAAGAGGCGGAGGCGACGGTCCCCGTTCTCCCCCCCCCCCCCCCCCCGCCCCCCCCCCCCCCAAAAAAAAGCCCCCACCCCCGCCCCAACGCCGCAGCCGCGGCGACCGCCCGCGCACCCGGCTGCGCCCACCCCGCGGCCGGCCGTCACCGAGCGCCGGAGGAAGCCGCCCTCCGCCGGTGCCCGGCCGCCTGCCCGCCTCCCCGCCGGCCGGGAGGGGGGAGCGGGGCTCCGCGGGGCCGAGGACCGGTAGTAGTGGGGGTGGCGGCTCTCCGCGTGCTTTCTCGGGGTTCGCCTGGTCCCTGAGGCAGCGGGTGTCCGCGGCCGCTGGTTCCGCTCCCCTCACTGCGTTGCCTCGCAGGCAGCTGCATCGGGGTGACTGCACCCACGTGTCCCTCAGTTTGTCCCAGGGCATGGAGCTAGGCCGAGAGGTGGGTACTGGGAGAAGAGGGTCCCCAGCTATGCTTGGGTGTTCATGTGTGGGTACCCAGATCTTGCCATGAGGGACTTCCATCGTTGTATTCTAGCTGTGCTATCTACTGACAGCAAAATCTCCGCTGGCCTCAAAGAGTATGCAGCCTGAGCTGATGATTTCAGGTTGGATATCAGGAAAAGGTTCTTCACTAGAAGGCTGTTGGCATAGAATAGGCTTCCCAGGGAAGCGGTCACAGCCCCAGGCTGCTGGAGTTCAAGGTGTGTTTGGACACTGTTCTCAGAAACAGGGTTTGGGTCTTGGGTGATACTGTGTGGAACCAGGGGTTGGAATTGATGATCCTCGTGAGTCCCATCCAACTTGGCATATCCTACAATTCTATGATGAAGGAAAACTGCTTTAGTGTCTGTGGGCTCTCTGCTGCGTTGCCTGTGAGCTTCTGGGTGCTCTTTGCTTTGTATAAAATATTGATTGGGTTGCAGACAGCACAGTTGTTATTATTGTTAACCTCCTTCCAGGTTAATGAGTCCTTTCAGCAGGACTAATTGGCATGGAAACAGAAGCATGCTGACTTGGCTATATTGCCTTTGGCTCTAGAGACAGCTCTTCGTCAATGCCAATTCAGAGCACTCTTTATTGTGCCCTGCCAACAGTGTAAGCACATACCTAGCTTCTTGTGCTGGTCACACTGCAACTGGTGGCCACCAGTCTCTGCCAATGCACATTTCACAAGTCAAAGGGTTGGAAAGCAATGACTGGTTTTGCACTTTTCTTACCGCCTTTCTATGTATCTTAGCAAAACTATAGGAAAATGATAGAATGGCTTGGGTTGGAAGGGACCTCAATGCCCACCCAGCTCAGGCAGCCCAGGACCCCATCCAACCTGGCCTCGAACACCTCCAGAGATGGGGCACCACAGCTTCTCTGGACAGCTGTGCCAGCACCACACCTCACAAAAAGATGGACATTTGAAAAATGCTGTTTTTGTATACAGGTAAGAAAGCTTCCCAACAAATTCAAAGTATTAACTCTCTTCTATTAAGAAATACTACTTCTTATGAAGAATTTAACATGATTACGAACTGTATTTAAACAGTAATAACTTTTCTTAACTAAGTTGTCAATATTGTAACAGAAATATAATGTTTCAGAGAATGCTACTTTGATTAATGCACTATTCTGGTATTTCGAAAACACATCTGAGCTAAGAATGAATCAACAGCACAGTAGAGTCCTACATATTTTATCACTTCATTTAAGTATTTATCTTTGTGAGTTTTCAGAGCAACCATTTCCCCAATTGCCTGTAATGTAAAGAACCTCCCCAGGTTTGAGCCAATGGGACAAGGAAATAGCTGGGGGGTTGTGCAGCATTTGCTTTTTGGACTCTGGATTCATTTAGACCAAGCAAAAACTGAAAGACGTTGGAAATGAGAACTATACAATGAATTTCATGAAAGGTAAAAATCATCTTGACTTTCTCAGTATATGTGACATTTACTGTGAAAATGGCACTTTGTGATTTGTGCACAGCAAAGACTCAGAACATAGTTTGTGCAGCACCAGTGTGGAAGTCAGACTCAGAAAAGCTCTAAGGAAGCACTGGAAGCAAAGACTGTTTAATGTGGTCAACGGGAAAAAAAGGGACACAGATAGATTCCTTGTCCTGCCCCTAAATTCACCACCCTAACTCTGGATACTTACTCCTAAACTTGACTTTTTAAAAAGCAAGCAGGTTATTTCTAAACTCAGCACGAAGCAGTCTGGGCAGTTTATTAAGTAAAACGAAGCACTCAGTCAGAGCACACAGGTTCTGAGACTGTGTCTCCTGAGGTCAGCCCAGGCTGCAGGACACCAAGGGAGGGTTTTCATTGCTGTTTGAGATGTTTCAGTTTTCAGGAAGTAGTTTAATAGATGAGAGAAGGAAGGAGTTGACCTTATGGCCCACTGGTTTGTTTCTTATCTACAGAGTATTGTGGCTTCATAAATAATCAAGGAATTAATGAACTAATTACTTGATAAATCAATCAACTTTCAGTGGCACAAGGAACAGAGAGAACCTGTTTGCTTCCCAATCCTTGCTCTCTCTCTCTCTTTTTCCAACACACACAGTCTTTCTGTCCCAACAAAACTACTCCTGCAAAAGATGAGACTGAATGTTGTGGCTCAAGAATTGAAATTCAGAATGATTTCTAGTACACTCCTGGGCCAGTGAATGATTAAGATCTATGTTACTAGTCCAAATTTGATCAATACGGAAGGAGAATAATACTGTTTTCTTCCTTGCCTTACTGCCAGTATTGGTAAAGGCCCTTCAGTAATGGATATCTAGTCTTCAACTGAGGCTGTTTTGCAGAGCAGAACAGGTGTTGTTGAGGACCTGACATTTCCACCATACACATTTTGGGTGTGCTTTCTTAGACAAAAATTCTAAATACTCATTAGCAGTTAGATCACATTCATTGTGCTACTGGAGTGCATCTTCCACCACAGTTTCATAGAAAAGAAACCCAGCTTATGTACCCTGGGACTACTCTGTGAAATGAACCAAAGCACAGTGATGGGAATGATCAAATGATTCACTTCACAAGCACAGGCCTGATTTGCTCTGAAATGCAATGTGGATGCACCCATCATCTCCTTTCAGAAGAAGGTAGAACAAGGGACACTCAGCCTTAGTAGAAATTGGCAAAGGCAGTGAGAGCAGAATGTGGAGCCACTCAACATTCTGGAATAACTTCTCACTTTCTCCATTCCTGTCAGTACCAGTGGAGGTAGAGAAGAGGGGGCAATGACAGGAAGGCTCAGAGGAGAGAGGTCTGCATTCAGCTGATGCATTTGCAGTACTACTGCTATCAGTCACCAAAAAGAGGCTTTCTCCAGTAGGAGAGAGTCTGGCCTGAGAATCAGGGAAGAAGGATTTGATCACAGCACACAATACATCACCGAGTTCTTACACTGGAAAGTGGGCTGAGGCTTTACCTGACAAAATGAACATAACCCAACGTACACACTGAGGTCAGAATCACTTATCAGAACATTTTCTTTTTCATTTTCCTCCCTGGCTCCTCTGTCATTTAACTGATGTTGACAAAGATCCAGTCTTATCCTGAAGCAAACTGCAATCACTGAGGGTTCAGAGACACAAAACAGAGACAGGCAGAAACTAAAAAAATGTAGGAAGAATTGTCGCTACAGCTGAAGCGGTGTCTTTTGAGGAAAACAGGACATTAATCTTACTAGACTGAGACTCATGCTGCTGCTTACCTATTCTGCCTTGCAGCAATTTTAATAGCCTGCTGGTTTAACCTGCTGAGAAGGTGTAATTAATAAAACAGGCTGGAAAAAAAAAATCCACATGAAAATTTTCAAGTCTTTTTTTATTTTTTTTATTTTTTTTTTATTTTTTCCCCAGGCCTGACTTCTTTATTTAATCAAAAGTTGATGGCTATTTTTGCCAAAACAATCTTCAACAGAAACATAGTGGGGGTTTTTTTTGCTTGTTTGTTTGTTTTTTTTCTTTGCAAAAAGCTCAACTTTCTTATTTTCCTGTCAACAGTATCTCAGCAGAAGCAGAAGACTGGAGTGACAGCAGGATGCTGGGCAGTGGATGCTCAGCATCAGGACTAAGGGAATGCTCTGCGCTTGGACAGTTTCATATGCTGTACTCTGCCTGTTGGAGCAATGATGCATGATCATTGGGTACACTGCATGAAGAAAACAGTATTATATTTATCTCTGTATTTATCAGAAAGTGTATATAATATTTGGTGACGTTGATTTTACACCAAGATTATACTCATTGTACCCTTTCCTGTCAGGCAGACTGCAGTGTTGCATGAATGCATTTCCTTTGGCTGCATAATTTGCTGGTTTCATTTAATTATATTGAAATATTTATGTTGTTATCTCAACATTTCTGAGGTAGTAGAGATCTTAGTGTTTCAGTGGGCCACAGAAGAGTGAGATATTAATCAATATGAGTAATGGGGACCAAAATCTGCCCTTAATAAGAGGCTTGACCCACACTGTTTTGAGACACCGTTTAATTTTCAAATGGTTATTTTTCTTCATATTCAAGAAAATAGAATGAAAATTTGCATTATCTGAAAAAGAGATCTGAAGGAATACTAATCTGTTCTATTCCTTTTGAGGCAAATTCTCTGGATTATGCACATTATGAATCAGACACATCAAAATAAAAATCCATTGACACTTTGGCAGAGGAAGAAATAATCAAGGCTCTTTAAAACTCAGATTGTTTCATCATAAAGATTAATGATTTTGCACCAAAATAACACACATACATTAGAGAAGCCTTGATGTTTTAGAAGTACTATTCTTTAAGTCTCTGCCCTGATGAAAACACAGTTTAGGAAAACAGCAGTAACTGAGTTTGAGGGTTTTTTTTCTGTGAGTTATTTTATTTTATATAGGACTTCCTTAAGTGTTTCTACTTGCATATTTTCAACTAAATCCCATT